ATTAATATATATATGTATATATATATATATATATATATATATATATATATATATATATATATATATATATATATATATATATTTTTTTTTTTTTTTTTTTTTTTTTTTCAAATACAAACATTCAAACTGTTTTGCCGAGGGATTTAGTGTCTTTACTGGCTGCAAATATGACATAGATGAAAATACTGTAAGTGGTTATCTTTGTGCGTGGAAGGCTTTACTCTAGGTTAACAGAAAAATTTATTATAATACAATTCAAAAAATAAAACAAAATACAATTTCAAAACGTGGGTTTAAACATGTGCTGAGTTAAAGTAGATTTAAAACAACAAACAAAAACTAGACCTGCACTGAAAATAGCTACAACAGCAGTAGACAAATCTTTTTTTAAAAGCATTCCTTTTTTATAACCCACTGTATTTTACAAAAAGTGATTTAATGGCTCCCAGGAGTCTTTCCATTTCATCCCACTGTAAATCAGAAAAAGACATTTAATTATAATTATGTTTACAGGATAGGCTGTGATATTTAAATTAACATAATTTTAAAAAGTAATTTGCTGCAAACACAGATATATTAGTTAAAGATTATTACAATTTTTACATTATTATCTACAAGAATAATTGTTTACATCAAAAAACAATAATAGTTTGTTCAACATATTTCCACCACTGTATGACAGAATTATATTGTGTATTTGTGACACTTACCATCCAGAACACGGCTTCCATCTGACTCTGGCCTCTTCAACACCCTTTAAGAACATGAGCATTAAGCAACATTGACTGTTAGTACTGAGTGACTAGAATTATTTGAACATTTAGCATAATTGTTTGACCTAGCCACAACAATATCTATTAAATGAAATATCTAGAAAGTCAGCATAATTGTCTTTAAACCTGTTCACTGTCAATGTCACTCAATCAAGTACTTTTAAAGAAGCAGCTAGATTGGCTTTGGTTGTAGAAGGCATTGAAAGCAATGTTAAAGTTGTCTGGAAACGTGCTGACACAATGCCTGACATACCATGTTACACACATACCAAATATTACAGTTAACAGTGGATCAAACCAGTAGGACTAAATTCATGTTATATTAGTTGTGATCAGATTAAAATGATTGTGCTCATTATAAAAATTAAATGTTTTAGAGGCAAAAAAGCAACATTTTCAGATTTGCCTGGTGTTCTAATGATTTCAACTACCACTATAAATACCCACACATTATAAGCTAAATCATGCTTAAATTAAAAAGAACCACGGGATAAATCTTTTATTTTTATTTTTTTTATAAAATATATTTTTTTTACTTAAGTAACTTCATACATAAATAAGTGGTCTTACTTCTTTGGACATCCTCCTTTTCACAATCCTGTCATATGGAAAGGTTTTCTGGTTGGAATGTACTTGGCATTCTGCAGCAGAAATATATAACTCTTACTTACAAAAAATACTTAATATTGCAGGAAAGTTCAGAGAGCAATGAGTCTGATATAAATACTGTGAAACATGAAAATTTGAAATGTAAACTGCTTTCACTCAATAAACATTCTTTTTTAAATAGTTTTATAGTTTTAGTTTTATATTCAAATTTTAATGTGAATTTTTATTTATAGTAACATTTACATTTACACCAAATGAGAGAACAGCATATTTTGTATAGCATATTTCAAACACATCTTTTTTTTCTGTTTTACTGTAAACAATGTGTAGACTAGTATAACATCAACTTTAGGCAATGCAGTGGCGCATTAGGTAGTGCTGTCGCCTCACAGCAAGAAGGTCGCTGGTTCGAACCTCGGCTCAGTTGGCATTTCTGTGTGGATTTGTATGTTCTCCCTGCGTTCACATGGGTTTCCTCCAGGTGCTCTGGTTTCCCCCACAGTCCAAAAACTTGCTGTACAGGTGAATTGGGTAGGCTAAATTGTCAGTAGTGTATTTGTGTAAATAAGTGTGTATTGATGTTTCCCAGTGATGGGTTGCAGCTGGAAGGGCATCCGCTGCGTAAAAAAGTGCTGGATAAGTTGGCGGTTCATTCTGCTGTGAAAATTGTTTATAGAGCGCGCTGATTGGTTTGAACCAAGCCTTACTCATGCAGTAATGCATCACACTGTAAGACGTAATAAGACACACTCAGGCACAGACGCCCAGTCTGCAGGCTGGATTACACGCTATTATGTCATGACCGTGACGCAGCTTCAAAAATTTGTTTCAAACCGGAAGTACGAATTTGCTTGAAATAACGCAAAAACAACCAATTTACACTTTTTAGTGAAATATAGGTGTCCTAATAGTGTTTTTAGCAGTGTGGGACACATATACGACTGTCAACAGCTCAAAAAATGTGTTTTGGTGTTTCGTGACCCTTTAATATAGTCAGACCTGACATGAATACATTTGTTCAGAAATACATTTTTGATTTAGTTTTACCTAATAATGACAACATAATTTTGTATACACTATGCCTCTGTACTCAAATAATGTACTTACAGCAGTGCGGGCAGAATCTACAACACGGGCAGCATTCCTGTGTTTTTTGTTGTTTGCTGCCCATGACGACTCCTCAATGTTTTTTTGTTTTGCCATGATGCTTGCTTTTAAAGCAATGGCAGCAAAACAATTTCTGCACGTTTTGCAGTTTGAAACATTTAAAGCCCCACAATTATGGCAAGGCTTTTGTTTGGGTTTTTTCATTCTCTCTGGAAGGAAACAAAATATATATATTAATATTAATCATAGACAAAATACATTTTCATTGAAAACACTGTATCTTAAAGTTTTTAAAAAAAAATACAATAATAGAAAAGATTATTTACAGGCTATAAAACACATTTTATGTAACGTTATATGCACATAGAATAATTTAACATATTTAATTACTCAATCATTTAATATATAAATGTATAAATTATTTAACAGACAAAGACATTTTTAATGTAATTAGTAAGTAAAAGTAAACTATGGAACATTATGAATTCAATGAACTCAAAATAGCAATAGAAATTATTAATTAAAATTGCATATATATATATATATATATATATATATATATATATATATATATATATATATACATAGCTTTGGATAAAAGCGTTTGCTAACGTTAAATGAGTAAACGTATATGTAAATATCTTGTCAGATTAAGCTAAATTGTCTGAATAAACTTGCCTACCAAGACTGTAAGTTATTGCCTAACATGCTAACATATGAACTTGACATGAATTGGTCTGAAGTCAAGCAAGATTAGCACTTATTTTTAACGTGTATTATCAAAATATAATAACCTAGATATACATGTGAGCAATGCACATAGACAAACATGGTGTGAAGAACAAAATTTCTTTATTTAATTTGTGGAATCAGTGTACATTAACTCACCGCTGAAAGCGGGATCAGTACGGCGATGGATGGATGTTACGTCACGTGACACGATTTCCCGCTTGCTTTTTTAGGGAAATGTGGAAAAATAAATATTTTATAATAAAGTGTTTTTATTTTCATTTCTTGCTTGTAAAGCGGCACAAATATTCGAGTGTTTGTAAAAGTAACATGAAAAAAAAAATCCTATTGATTTTTTATCAATAGGGATTTCGGTTAGGTTTTTATTGGCCATCATAATAAGACTTCATGATAATAAAGTATAATGAAATGTTAAGAAAATGATAACAACCAAAATCATTAAAAAAGAGCAACGTCAACAAAATCTTTAAAAATACAGATCAAATTAAAGTCTAGATGTCCAAAAACAACAATAAATCGAATCTAATATACAGACCTCTAATACAAAGAGCATATTTTAATATTTCATATTATCAGTATTTCTTTATTTTGTTTTTTTTTTGTAAAAAAAAAAATAATAAAAAGGGTTTCTGTTTCTGAATATAAGTTGGCCAACACAAAGCTTTGTTATATATAAGTATTATGAATATATAAGCTTCAAATTTCTCTTTTGTCTCAAGCTTCGTGCGCCATTAATGTAAAATAACAGATATTACATTATAAATAACTTCATATAATCGTTTTATTAAAAAAAACAAATACTATGCGGACATTTATGAATAAAATATTAAAAGAAAACATTCAATTGATTTATTTTTTCTTTTATATGCTCATACAACTGCATTCACGTGGGCTATATGCTACGAGGCTTTACCATAGGGCTTTAGGCGTCTTGATGTGACGTCCGAAGGGACCCATTGAAAGCAATGGAGCTCCTGTTGCGTTCGTATAGTGACGCCTGGGAGCACCTTTGGCGTCCTCATGTTGACGCGGAAGGTGTTTGACCATACTTCAGTTTTTGACGCCTTCGGAGTGAGCATGGGTTGGTTCATTATATAAGAAACCAAATTCAGTGTTTTTCAAGAAAATGGACCTCAGCTGTGGTGTTATAGTAAAACACATTGAGCATCTGAATCACTTTAGAGAAACAGACATCAATAATCAGTATATCTATCTCAACAGTGGTTAGAGATGTTTTTTTGTTTTTGTTTGGCTGCAGTGCATGTTAAGAGAATCATACAACATCCATATATAGTTCCCAGCATGCACTGTAGGAAAAACTCACCATAGTTGAGAGGCATAAGCTGATTCTTTATGTCTGTGTTTTTTAAGTGTTTGCAATGTTTAATGTGCTTTATGATCTGATAAAAGCATTTATGAGCTCCATTTTCTTGATACAGTACTCCTTTTGTGATACAACATTAGTTAAAGTTAATAGGTCAAAACCATTAGACTGATTTGACCATTGACTAAACCACCACAGAGTCAATTATCCAGAGCACAATTGCTCTCTTTATACAATGTTTGCCACAATACACAATTTGGCAAACAAAGAGAGGCTTACATTAGAAATCGAGTCAGAGTCCAAGTAAAGCAGCTGCTGTTCTCCTCAATGGTGACAGCTTAAACACAAAAAGTCGTGTTGTTTTATTGCTGTTGTAAAAAAAATGTAGTTATTTCATAATATTATCACTATATGTAATTTTGTAGAGTGTGGCAGAAATAAGGCCAAACAGGTTGTTAATAGGTAAAGGTGCCGTTTTTGGAGTTGCTTGATGATGCTCTGCTGAAACTTTTGAGAGATTTGATGTGTTTTATTTCAGTTTATTTAATCTACGGCTGTGACTGAAGTCAGTTGTTGTATTTCTCTTCTGTTTCTGCTTATTAACAGCAGGTGTTCATCATCAGTGCTCAATCATCACTTAATTAACCCCATCATTGTCTCATTATCTTTAACTGCTGCTGAGTTAATTTTGCTCAATTTAGAGAGGGACCAAATATTCACTGAACTGGGTAAATTTCACTCTGAGGATTTTCCTGTGTGCCTAAGCAGTATAACACTGTTTTAGGATCTAAAATTTTATTCTTAAAAAAAAATTCTCAAGCAAAAAGATTCCAATGACGCGTCCACAGGTACTTGAAGAATATGGTTAATACTGAGGAAATTCACACTTAACTATTTGCATATCATCAGCATGCTGTAATCCATTTCTTAAGCAGCAAAAGTCTTTTTTAGACTAGTTTGTTGGCCAGTTGTAGTCAGTGCAATGCTAAACGTTATTGTTCCATTATAATTTGTTTTGTCTCTCATCGTCCCACAACAACATCATATAGTTTAGAATACTGTACAGTTTTTTTATAATAATTATTTTAGTGTCCATTTCATTCAGCATTTTTAAAATTGGGGGCATCCACGTTTTTTTGACATACTTTTACCCAAGGTCTTTCAGGTTTCACCAAGTAAAATGTAAAACTTTTAAAGACATTTTTAACAAAAAATCTTTAACAGTAATCTACTGTTACTAGATTCATGGGATTATTATTCTTTCTAAAACCTTTTAAATGTTATAGCAAACTCTATCACTTGATCAATAAAAAGGCAGACACACAAGTGCACTGTTAAACCTATTAAAACTGGTGATTGTGTATAAAAGTTTAGAATTTTTTTATAAATGTCACACATTACATTACTTATTTTATTATACGCTGTTAAAAATTGTCCCATTAAAAAACAGTAAAATACTGGCAGCTGCAGTTGCCAGCAATGTACTGTTATTTTACAGTATGTTGCTGTAAAAATACATGGACTACATTGATTTACACAATACTCAAGGGAACTCATTTTGCTCACTGAAAGCAACTGCCTCAAATTGGTCAACTGCTGAATGAGTTTATGAAGTAATGTGCTATATATGCTTAGAAGCATACTTATAATGATAACTTATTTTAGTTAATTAGAAAAGTTCGGTTTAACTCTAATGTCTTATTTTTCACAACAGCACACATACATGTAAATCTGGAATCACCAGAGAGATTCTGACTGCATCAGCAACTAAACAGCCGCTATCTTTAAATAGAGAAACATGCAGAATAACATCAGCAGTTCATTGTTCATCTTTAACTCATACACTGGCTCTACTCTCCTCCACAACGGTGACATACAGAAGAAATTAGCTTCAGGTTTTACAGTAAAATACTGTTTTTTTCTTGATTTAACAGTAATCTACTGGCAGCTGTGGTTGCCAGCAATCTACTGTTTTTTTACAGTCTATTTCCGTAGTGTAAATTAACAGTATATTACTGTTAAAATACATTTTTACACTGTGTTTTTACCTCTCACACCTTTAACCCTTTAAACCCCAGAGCATATACTTCCGTTTTAATTGAAGTGTCCACACTACTGAGTGTTCAAGAAACATGGAGCAAAGCTGAAGTAAATTCATTAATTAACTGACTAATTAAATGATAATTGAGGATTAACAATGAATAAATGAAGAAATACTGAAGGGAAAAAACAAGAACAGAACATACAAAACTTAAGTCACAGCTTTATAATGAAATAACCTGAAGAACAACAAATGATTAAATCATGTAAATGATCAGCGGATGATTAAACAACTCTACAAACATCATCACCAGCTACACTTATTACTTAATACATGTATTTTTGTATAACATCTACTAAAGTTCTTCTTGAGAAAAAGTTAAAGTTTTACGTCACCATCATGGAAAACAGAGTTTGCTTTAGTTGGGCTCTTAGCCCTGTCATTTTTAACATTTATATATCTTGGCTGCTGCAATTGATAAGAACTTTGTTTAAAAAGCTCCTTTGTTGTGGCAAGCCAGCCAAAAACCTAAATAAGATCTGGTGATGTTCATGTTGCTATTAAATGGCAGAGTCTGTTCTCATTTAGTATAATAAAATTTACTGCTCCTATTCAATGTTAAATCTATTGTCTTATATAATATGTCTATATATGGCAATGATTTCTGGAAGTTTTTAAGAATATCTTGGACAATAACACTGCTCTATGGTGTAAATCGCACTCAAAAAGACATCAATAATCAGCATATGAACCTCAATAATGGTGACAACAAATTTAACAAAATTAACAGTTTAACTCACAAACAGGCAACTGAACGTCTAAACATAAACAACAGCAGAATCAAACACAAATAAAGAAAACTGTAAGACCATTATACAACATTTATTTATACCGCAATGCATGATGGGATATTTGTACCGTGCCACTCCCAGCATGCATTGCAGCATGAAACATTTGAGATGTTACCATTATTGAGATACAAGGTCAGATTCATGAGGTCTGAGTGTGTATTTATCATAACTGAACTGTTTTTGTATGTTATTTCTTAACTGTTAAGTAATTACGGAGGTATCTTTTCTGTTTCCTCTTCTCATTAATTAAATTAATACCTGCAACTAAGTATAAAATCTATTGCTTGAGGCCCTTCTTCCAGATTTATAACAAAACATTTATCAGAACTAATTTCAGACAAATAGATTTCTCTATTTATTGACTTCCCAACTTTATTGCTATAGTTCAAACGTTTTGTAAACTCTGTATTACAGCAGTTGGAAAGTCTGCTTAAATGAGTTCAAGGGTGAAGAGCCCAACTAAACCAGCCCCTCACTCCATTACGGTGACACAAAAAACACCTTAATTTCTGTTGGATCTCAATGAGAATAGTATGGAAGTCAAATTAGTCAGTAATAAGTGTGTCTGCTGTTGTTTGTGGAGTTGTTTAATGATCCTCTGCTGAGACTGAAGCTGTTTTTTTTATTTGATTTTATTTAACGTTGTAACTCAAGTCACTGTTTGTGTTTCTTGTTTATTTTCTTCAGTAATTGTAATTATTAACAGCAGGTGTTCATCAGTGTCTGAATTCACTCATTAGTGTTCATTAACTCTGTCAGGTGAACTATATTAGTTAACTAGTGTATGGAATAGTGAACAAGGACACAAAGTGTGATTTTAAACACAGATTTCAAAACATCGAATCTGAACTCTGTTCGCTCACAGTTTTCTGCAGTTGGTTACTTTCTCGAAAACAAAAATGTTACCCAGAATGCACTGTTTTTAACAGAATATTACTGTTTTAGTGAAAAAACATTATTTTACCGTAGAATCTGACCGTTTTTTAACAGCAATTTTTTACAGTGTACTTAAATATTTAAATACTTTAAATGTAAAATTACGCATTAACTTGAGCAGCTGTTTTCCCATGCTAACTGTCTCTGTTTCACTGATGGTTGCTTCGTTTTAAATATATTTACGCTCATATTTGCTATAACTTCGAATGATCACATCAAGTTCAGCTGGAGAAAGAAATGGTGATCTCTTTTTTTTTCAGATGTTGTCATTGTCACTCGTAATATCATTGATAATGCCTTTTTTGTAGTCGAGTTGGTCTACTTAAAGTTGATTGACCTGACTTTGAAACCAAAAACTCAAGTTCAAGTTTAAACTCTGAGTTGTCTGAACCTCCTTACTAAAACAGGCCCCAGGTCAGTGTCCTGAGCAGTAAACACATGAAGCACATTTAAACAAATGTTATTGTAAGAAAAATAATTAAAACATTAGGATAGAGTAAAAATTGCCTTTTGGAATAAAAAGTTTAAAGACTTTTTATGGCCTAAAATTTTGATTTTAGAATTTAAGACCCCAGCGGAAAACCTGTTTAAAGTCAATAGCTCTGGTATTTAATTATTATGATAATGATGAAATTCTAACTCAGATACTATCTGTGAGACATAGAAACAAATTTACACCCATAAAGAAATTGATGAAAAAAGGGAATTGTGATCAACATGACATATGCAAATGGAGAGTACTAAGCCAACTGTAATAGCAGATATCTTCTATGAGAATACTGTAGGTCAAACATCGTCAGCTCAGGTAAACCTTTTTAATTTATTGTTCTTGTCTATTTTATATAGCGCCAGTGCTCAAGGATGCTTTACCAACACCAGGAGAACAAGAAAAGCAATAACCATAAGAAGGTAGAGAAAATGGGAGACTAATAATACATAAAATAATAAAAAAGACACAAGAACAAGTAATAAAAGAAACTCGTTCCTATCTTTCAATGAGTGCTTATGTGCATTTAGGAGAACTAGGCAGCACACTCAGGGCTGCAAGATGGATTTAATTTAGTATTCTTATTATTAAAATATATCTGAATGAGGATCAAATGACTGAGTTGGTCTTTGAGAATGAAAATTAACCTGTTTGTTCCTGCAGATCTTCCTGTTTGACTGTGAATGTTTCTTCAATCTTCACATCTTCACTCTCCTCTTTAATAAACGCCATTTTTATAACAGTGTGGAGATCAGTCGCTTCAGCAGGAGTTTTTCTCTGTGTTTGGACACTTTATCCTGTTTAAAATTAAATAAAACAATAAAAATGTCCTGTTTAAAATAAATAAATCAAAGAACAGAAACAAAATAACTTCTCTTCAACCGTCGCTTCAATGTTTTCTTTATTTGAGAGTAATTAACAAAAAGAAATCAGGTGAAACATTTAATTAAAACACTTATTATACACTTTTCTGTTATTTTATTCAAACAACAGCCTTCAGTTACTGACAATAAAATAGTACTACTAAAATACTAAAATAGTTGTATAAAGGGTTAAAATAATATTTCCAACAGCAAGAACATAATTTAGCATCGCATAAAAAAACCTAAAACTTTCGAACTTTAACTTTAAATCGGTTTATATCTGTGTAAACATTTTAAAACAAACCTTTCTTCAGTTGAATTACAGCACTAAAGCGGCGCCGCCTGATGACGTCACACGCCACGCCAAAATAAAAGTCTTTTTGTTTAGCTTTTTTGCCACTTACAGTTGCAGTCATGACGTTTTGATACATTTCTCCCATAGTTTTCACTTTACACTATATTTGCTCTCTCACACTCAAACCTTTAATCTAAACATTTTCTTAACTTTTTAAATCCACTTTATGATGACTTGTATATGTCTAACACATTACTTTCATATTAATATCTGAGTCCAAATCTCATCCTCCTAATTATGACCTCTTCTTTTCTATTTCTACATCTTCATAGGCCTATATAGACTTTCTTTTTTTCCACATGAATTGTCATCTCTTATTATCTGTGTTCAACGTTTCCTGCCATTCTTTAGCAATATCTTCAGTAATATTTAATTTACCTTTACTTACAGAAGCGTTAAAAGCAGTTCACATAAAAATCACAATTCTGTCATTTACTCATCCTCTACTTGTTCCAAATCTGTTTTTCTACTGCTTAATGCAAATTAAGAGAATACAGAGGCAAAAACAGCCACTATATGCTTCAACAATTCCTACTTTGGACATGGCTGCTTTTTTCTACATTTTCTTGCACAGAAAATGTTCTTGGAACTTGATTACAATTGAACCACTAAAGTCACATGTTTTGACAATGTTTTTGGTTCCTTTTCTGGACTTTGAGCATCTCTGGACTCTTGCTGTCTATAACAGATGAAGGAGCTCTGAAGATGAACAAAGCTGTCAGGGGATTAAAACAACAGGTAGAGGGACAATCGTTCTCGAGTGCCTAGTGTACAATATAACACATGCCTTCCACCAGTGCTGATATACAGCCACATCGCACTTTAAAAAAAAAAAAAGATTCATTTTTTTTTATTATTGCAATAACAACAGGCCGATACAACAAACAGAAATACAAAAAACTGATAGAAGGCCACATCACACTGCTCCTCGTGTGATATATAACTCATATATATTTATTCATTTTCTTTACAGCTCAGTCCCTTTATTAATCTGGGGTCACCATAGTGTAATGAACCACCAACTTATCCAGCACATGCTTTACGCAGCAGATGCCCTTCCAGCTGCAACCCATTACTGGGAAACATGCACACTCATTCACACACACCGCATGCATACCACATCTATGGACTTTGGGGAAACCAGAGCACCTGGGGGAAATCTCACGCGAACACTGGGAGAACATGCAAACTTCACACAGAGATGCCAACTGACACAGCTGAGGCTCGAACCAGCGACCTTCTTGCTGTCAAGCAAACATGCTACCCACTGCACCACTGTGATGCCTCACATGTGTAATTATATAAAGTATTAAACTGGTATTGGTGAAGAACTATGCTTACTAAAAGGCTCCATTCAGATGTACTGATTGTAATGATCTGAGCAATCTAGCATGTGTTGTTATAGACACCTATGATTATTTGTCCTAAGACAGAGGTTCTCAAACATTTTTTATCAAGTACCACCTCAGAAAAACATTGTCTCTCCAAGTACCAGCAAAATGAGCAGTATTGAAATACAGTAGCCTAGTAGGCCTAGTAAAGCAGCTACAACTCTGCACAGATAAAAAAAACGTGGCAGATTACCTCAGAAATATGGACTATATGTCATATATGGCATATTATATACATCATTTTTGATATATTTTGAAATGTGTGTAGCATGTACATGACATATTTCATTCCTCTGCGTACCACTAGAAGGAAGCCTGCGTACCACTAGTGGTACACGTATCACAGTTTGAGATCCACTGTCCTAAGAGAAATAAGGCAGGTCCTGTTCATGTAATATGCTTTAGGCTATCAAGTTGGTATTGGCATTAACAGCTATACCTGTTAACATGTTTCATATATGTAAAACGACCCTATTCAATTAAATATCAGGCAGCTATTAATAAAGATGACCGCACACAATGATGAGCCATTTATTTAAATTAATATGTGACACAGATATTTAAATGTCATTGTTGCAAACAAGTTACAGGAGTAAGTACAGTTGTTGTTTTATGTGATGTTCACCACTGTAATTACACCATAGTGAAACAGAGGTCTGAGAAATGCTGTAGTTGGTGTAGGTAGAGCAGGTTAATCACGTTAAAAGTTCTGCATTGTGTAGATATGAAAGTGAACTCTTGTCATTTAATTATCCTGTATAAACTGTCTGTACAATAAATTATCTTGTGATGTAATTATTTTGTGATTATAAATATTTAGATGCATGACATATTTAAAAAAAATCGACAGTATGTGATAGCTTTACTGTGTTAAAAGCAAAAGCTTTTGTCACAGGGTATCGTATATATGCTTTTGTAAATGTCTATGCATATGTATGCACAAACACAAATGATAAATTGAGGGAAAAACATCTTAGTTACCTATCAGGTGAATAAGAGGCTTTCGAGAAAGCTGAGCTGCTCACACATGTTCAGTTCAACTAAAAGACGAAGGAAAGAAAACAAAATTGGCAAAGAAACAAGTTATATTTTGATTGTTAAAATCTATAGACACTTTTGGAAAGAAATAATTGACCTATTAAGAGTGTGTTGACTGTCTTACAGAAGCCAGTAATGAGCTGCATGAGCTTTAGGAGAAATAAAGGACTCTAAACTCACATAAAGAACAAGTTCAGTGATAAATAAATGGTTAGCTCATGTCAATATATTAACTGAACCTAACACAAATAAAACCTCACTGTGAAGTTTAGAAATTGTTTCTTTCAACGAATGATAAAATATTACAGTATAATAGTATAAGACTTACATAACTATTATATAAGTGAATGTAGTTGTGTGTATTGAGACATGAGTGTGTTTTGTGCTCATTTGCATCTTTACACAAAACTCTGAGAAGCTTCTAAAAAAACAACACACAACTCTTGCATTACCTTTTAACCAGGCTTGGGAAAAATAAATTGAAATGTGTTTCAAATCAAAGTACCTCAACATAAATGTATCAACATTAACTACAAAATGCAGCAGCCAAAATAAAAACGCTTCAATCAATAATCCTATAAAACAACAGCAACAAAACAAATGACGATGGCTAAAGTCAACTTATTTTCCCAATACATCATTATTTCTCTGTAAAACTATGATTTGTAAAGCTGCTGAACTTCCCATCCCCCACAGTATGTGGCTTGATTCTTCACTGCTCCCCACTGCTCATTTGCATCTCTATACCAGCATTAATGGAGGCCAATTGAGTCTTATCCAATCACATTCTAGATCCAGTACACTCAAAAAAATGATTTGTTGGACTTACATAAAAAAAGAGTGTCAAGTGGTTCCACGTAACTGTGTTGAGTAGTTTCTACAAGTAACAATATAGTTAAATGAACTAAAGAAATCCAGGTAAAGTTTACAAAATATTTCTTAGAACATTCAACCTATTTAGATGTGTCATTATTGCATTTTAGTTTTATGTATATTTTACTTAGTAATGTTATGTTAGAATTATGAACTTTTAGTATGTAAGGTGAACACTTTATTTATATATATATATATATATATATATATATATATATATATATATATATATATATATATATATATATATATATATATATATATATATATATATATATATATATATATATATATATATATATATATATATATATATA